GCTGATTATGGTGCAATGTACGAGCCAGAATTTGTGGATATACCTCATCTCGGTAACTATAGATATTACTCATCAACAAATAATGGTGAGTTATCTTTAGGCATGGAGTTTTCAAGCAAAGAATAAGCGATGATGGCTATAAAAAATTACAATATCTGCAATTATGTTCAATCAAGAGTCGACCGCTCCACGATAGAAAAATATGTATGCTACTGTGCCCGACGCGAAAACGGATGCAATTGGATGGTTTGCGTATTGAAGAGGAAGAGGAAAAACAACATATGGGAACTAACAGTATACATCGGTCCTCACACATGTTGTGCTGGAGGGGACAACCAAGATCATCCCAACTTGGACTCTAAAGTGATATGCCAAGTCATAATGCCCATGGTAAAAACAAGCTCTCATATAGATATTGATGTGTTGATTTCAGCTATACAATCGCAGTATGGGTACACCGTCTCCTATAAAAAAGCTTGGTTGGCAAAACAAAATGCCATTGTCAAACTTCATGGCGAATGGGATGCATCTTACAACGAACTTACAGGCTGGTTTAGGCTGGTGCGGAGGTTGAATCCTGGGACAATTGTGGACTTTAAAACCTCCTATGCATACCATAATGATCGAGTTCTTCGCAATCGATGCCAATTCTACCGGGGTTTTTGGACTTACCCACAGTGTGTTAATGCTGTCAAATATTGCAAGCATGTGGTCCAAATCGACGGTACTTTCTTGTATGGAAAATACAAGCAATTTTTATTATTGGCAGTTGTCCAAGATGGCAATCATAATATTCTTTCAGTTGCTTTTTCTCTTGTTGAAGGAGAAGATATAGATTCTTGGGCTTTTTTCCTCCGAAACTTACGTGCACATGTTATCACAAGGGAAAAAATCTGTGTCATTTCAGATCGCGGAGCTAGGATCAAAGTAGTAATGGAGTCTTTGGGTCCAATGTGGCAACCACCCTTTATTCAACATAGGTATTGTCTCCGACACATTTCTGCGAACTACCATGGAAGGTACAAGAAGAATGATGAGCGTCAATTAATTGTGCGCATAGGTAAGTGAAACTGATGTTGTTTGTTTTCTTTCGATCATTTTAATTTTGCAGAGAAAACAAGTTAGTAAGTTATACATTTTTTGATCAGGTTACGAACTACTTCCTCAAACGTTTGAATCAATACTTCAAGATTTACGGGCGAAAAATGAGGAAGGGTACGATTACATCAGCCTCATCGATAAAGAAATGTGGACGAAAGCATATGACGGTGGATATCGATATGGACATATGACAACCAACTTGGCTGAGGCAATCAATTCAACCTTAAAGGGTGCATGTCACTTACCTGTAGAGGCTTTGGTAAAAACTATATATTTTCGTTTGGGGGCACTTTTTGCGAAGCTCGGGGGACAAGCTCAAACCTGGATCCAAGGCGGTCATGTCTATCACCCTAGATTAGTTGCAGATCTACAAAAAAAATTGTTACATCAAATGGAATGTTTGTAACAAGCTTCTCTAGAAGACATGAAATGTTTCATGTCACAGAGTTGCCGCGACCTCTTCAAAGGATTGAAGCTGTGTCGTTAAGAGTAAATCTACGGGACAAAACGTGTGACTGCGGGTTTTTCCAAGCTTTGAAGTATCCATGCTCTCGTGTGATAACAGCTTGCTCGCATACACGTCAAGACTATAACTGTTTTGTGGATCTCGTATACCTACTATCTGAAGTTTTTAAGGTATATGAATTTGAGTTCCCCCTATAGGTAATGACAAAGACCCTGATGAGATTTAGGATTGTCTTCCGATTGTACCAAATCCAAATTTATTAAGGGAGTGTGGTCGTCCAAAATCCAATCGAATTCATTGTGATATGGATATTCGAGAAAGATCTAGACAAGACAAAAGATGTGGGCATTGTAGAAACCCAGGACACACTAGAAAAACATATCTACTTATGCTGTCATCAAGTAACAATTGATGAGGAACTGATGTAGTTGTTTATCAAATAAGAATTCATGTACTTTAATTTGCATTTACTTCAAGTTAATGTCATTCGATCTTACAATAAGTGACAAACTAAAGAAAGGTATCAAACACAATTATTAAATTTTATCAAAACAATAACAATTTGGTATTTGAATATAATTTTAAATACAACAAACTTACAATAAGTATCGGTCTTGCTGCGTCTATCTGTGCTATCACATATGGTTGCGGTATGTAAGTCGTTGTAGTCGGTGGCTGCTGTGAAGGTCCTGCTGGTGCAGTTGAGGATGAACCCGGAAGCACCTATTCTCCGTCCACGAGTCGGGGGACGATGGTGCTGTGTCGGTGAACGTCTCTATCGACGTTGCTGAAAGGTCTACCCTCGTACATCATCGAAAAGTAGAAACGGTTTCCCGTTAGTGTTGAACCACTCATAATAACCCTCGGTAACCATCAAGAGGTCAGTAAAAATGGGCTCTCTAAGGGGAAGGCGCTGATGTCGATCCTCCCACAGTACGACCCACTCATAATTCCTCACCAACCAATCTGTATCGGTCTTGTCGCGTTTATTTGTGCTATGCAACTCGTCCATATTGTGAGGTGCTTCCGGAATTGGTTGAAAATAACCAAATTGCCGGAGCACGCGATTAGTGGAGTGCCAATCGACGATCGCATAACAGATCAAAGGGACCACGCCATCCAAACATCTAATGGGCCCCTCAACTCTGGTGAGATCACCATCCTCACATCATCATTAGAATATGGCACCCATTCAAACTAAAACAAATATATATAATTTTTATCAAAATAATAATCTAATTATATAACTATAATCTAAAATCGATTTTTAAACATTAAAATACATACATGTGTGCTAGCCTTCTGATCGATTAGCACCCTAATTTTTTCTAAATCATTAGGTAGCTCCTGATGATTTTTCCTATCAGTAGACCACCTATTCAAGGAAAATAAAATTTATTATACACTGTATAAAATGATTAATATACGAAATCAGTTTTATAATTACCTCAATAGTAGCGGAAATATGATGGGTTCTTGACAACGGGACATAAAAAGGGCAATCGATACCATGCCCAAGACTGCAGCAGCATGAGACATCCGCCGATAACATTTTTCTTGTAGTCAGTAGCTCGACACATCTCCCTGTACAGGAAAGCCAAAACTGTCGAGCCCCAACTAAGTGATCCGACCAGACGAAAGTCGCTAAGATGTCGCAACCACATACAGTGAACTTGGTTGCACGATTTGTTCGGCATCAACAACCCTTCTATCAACTGCAGTATGCATGCCCGTGCATACATTTTAACTTCATCATCAGAGGCGTCCTCGCTCAACTCCCGAAAATTGGCATCTAACAAATTTAACTGTATTCGACCACCGTTAAAACTTTCCAGGACACGTCCTAGATAGTCCCGGCACAAAGCAGTCCATAAACTGTGCGCCATCCCCGATATCACATCTCCATCCACCAGAAGCCCCAGGTGTTTAGAAACATCCTCAAGTGTAATCGTGCACTCTCCGCACGGAAGATGGAATGTGTGGGTCTCCGGCCTCCACCGCTCCACTAAGGTAGAAATAATGTCTGGTTCTATCTTACAGTGACCCTCATATCTACCTATGTGATCGAATCCAGCCTCTACTAAATACGGAGAAAAACACGGCTAGGTATCACTAACTTAAGGTTCCTAATAAAAGGATCTAATACACAGTCCCTCTCCTAAAATTAAATAATTACAAAAATTAATTTTTTAATTAATAATCATGCATTAAATAAATAAATAAATTGTTACTAATAATTTAAATTTTATTAAAACGTTAAAATGTTACCGTATCAGCAAAATTTCGCGATATATGATTTTCATACAAGCGAAGTATACCTCCATCATTTTATATATGTAAAAAAATTAATTAACTAAATTTTAAAAAAATTAAATACTTAAATAAATTAAAAACAAAATATTAAATTTAATAAAATATACCTTAAACAGTTAAAATAGAATATAAGAGTATTTGAGAGAAGTTGAGAGGATTTGGTGTGATGAAAGTGATTGGTAATGAGGGTATTTATAGGGAGGGGTGGGGTGTGAACGGCCGGTAGGTGGGTAATTAAACTTAAGGCGCGCCGCAGGGGGCGTGCCTTTCTGACGCATGTTAGTATTAAAGTTAAATCGTGGCCCCTGCCTCGCGCTATACCCCACGTGGCGCCAGATCAGCTTAAAGCGCGCTGCAGGGGGCGCGCCTTACCCCATGTGGCGCCATATCAACGTAAAACGCGATGCAGGGGGCGCGCCAAAGGGTGTTAGATCGAAAAAAATAGTCTGAAGGGTGCCTGATAGGGAATAATATAGGGTATAGGTGATATTTTAGGAAAAACGCAGAAGGATATCAAAATGGCAACGTTAAAAAATAGGGTTTAAAAGAAAGGAACGAGACTGATGAGCTTGAATTTATACGAATGGGCCAGAAGCAGATACAATGGGCTAACACCTTACCTGGATCAACCCATTAAGATGAAAGAAGAATTGCATTACATGAGAAGAATTAGTTACAATCTAACTAGCAATAGTAACGGCTCCAATACATTGTAAAATACAAATTAAGATTAAGAGAATGTACCGTCATGATGAAAAATTAGCGAATTTCTGAAAAAAAAATTACCTTTTGTTCTACTTCTATTTCCCATTCTATCATAATCATAACATTAGTCGGTAACTATTCATAATTTGTACGATATTTTAATCTTTATTGGATAAAGGATATATGTGAACTCCTCTCTAGACAAGTACAATGGATTGCAGTTTGGATGCAAACTATTACATTTGATTGCAGTTTGGATGCAAACCATTACCGTTGTCTCGAGAACGTAAGTTCAAACTTATTTAAGCTCTATCATTCGAATGGGTTTATTAAACTAAGAAATGATTTAATCCATCAACCAAACTTTATATAAATCTAACACTATTTTATACCAACACACGTGAATTATTACAAAACTGTTTAAACATTTATCATCCACCATACATCATCATAAACGACAATCACAGGTAAGAATCTAAGTAGCCATAGGTATGTCTTCTGTTGTACTGCAACAAACTAGCATAAGTTCTATCCCATATTCCTATATACAAAGTCTCATCATCTGGACTCAAAGTTACCCCCGAAATCTCACCAAAGAAGTCATTCTCTTGTCGTTCCTGGAAACCCGACCTTGTATTATAAACATGGACGAAATCCGCTGGTTCAGCAACTACCATGAACTGGCCGTCCGAAGAAAACCGGATTGACGGCACTGCACCCAAGTTTCCTTTGAGGGCTGTAATTGGGATAGAGAGGTTTCTTATGTCCCACACTCGGCACGTCTTGTCTTGATTTCCCGTGGCAAATATGTATCCATTAGGGTGCCATGCCGATGCAAAGGAGTAATCTCGATGACCTACCGCCGTGGCTACTGTCTGCAACAACAGAAAACATTTTCCAGCTTCAATTGAACTAATCGTTCTTAATAAAATATGCATAGTAAAATGGTAGTTCTTAATAAAAATATACATAGTAAAATGGTATGATTTTGAACCAAGCTCTTCCTATAACATATATCATATTGAACCAAGCACCACTTCCAGATTCAATCAATTTGACTGGACAGTGCAAGAATCAAATGTAAACAACCTTAGCTCTACTTTCAGAGAGGCCATCTCCCAAATTTGAATCTATAACTCATTACAAAGCAAACTTACTACTGTGCCGGGGCTCAGCCAGTCACCCATGCAGTACCGGTAGTATCCTACTAAAAAAGTTATTATTTACCTTTCCATTTTGCGCATCGACAAGCAACCCATCCATGTGATCTCCAACAACAGCAATAAGCCTTTGATCGGGGCTGATGGATGCATGCTGCATCAGAAAAAGCAAATTCATTCATGTTAAGGAAAATTAACATAATCAATGAAAATGACTAATTATTCCAGGTTGCTCTTTGGGTTTATGAAGTTACAATCCTCTAATGTAGTTGAAACGCAGATCGCATAAGTCGAGTTTATAATTTTTCTACATTGAGTAGAAATCTTATGATATGAACATAAATCTACCTTTAGACCACTGCCTCTCACTCATGTAAATATAAGCTATGTACTCTGCATTTTTTCTTGAAGTACTCGTGTCCGAACATGTATTGAATATATTTTTGAAAATATGATCATCCAATGACTCTCCAAATAATTAAAGAACTTTACAAAAAGAAAAAACTAGATATACCCATCCCATCCACATACCCATGTCGAACACTCGCAGCTGAATCCAAGAAACATAAGATATAAGATAGAACATGAAGGACTGTGAAAGAACTGAACTAATAAGAATTAGGCATCATACCCTCAACTCAAGAGGCTTACATTTACTGGCCAAGGGAACTGGAAATTATTTAAAAGTTGAAATCTCTCAGTATCATATTCTCTCAAACTACAGTCGTTATTTGAGGCCATGAAATTAATTCCACCCCTGCAAAACAGATTCGAAGTTCAATCTATATTCTATTCAATACATTTTCTAAGTCAAACAGTATCATGCTACCTCAAGCTGTCATATATATCGATAGCATTTGTAATTGCATTGTCATCATAGGTTGTCCTGGTACAGAAGGTTACTCCTTTTCTGTCCAAGTGCTGCAAAAACAAGAAAACAAAATTGTACAACACCATATATAAAAGGAATGGCGACTGAGAATGCCAGAACATGTTCATGCAAAACCAAAATATGCAAAATCAAATAAATACATGATAGAAATAGAACAAACAAAACACATTTAAGAACTAAAGCATGCTGGTCAATCCATGTTGTTCTTTCAAGAAACAGGTAAAACATTTCGATTTCTAGGATTTTCAATAATTCAATTTCTTCTATTCCAACAGGATTCAGGATTCACATCACATATGAAGAATAATCTCATCTGTAGAAGAAACACTTGGATGGTTACTCGGAATGTAATATATACTAGGATGTGGTATGACCTTGCACAATGCACACCCTCCGCATACTAACTGGTTCACACTGTAACACCCACCACTATTCCAGTTATATATGACCTCTCTCAAACAAACAGACCCTGCCTTTTCTACCCATTGCAACCATGAAAAGCTATGTTGGTCCAACTCTTTGCTTTTCTTTTAACTACTCATGTCCACCACTTGCGTTTGACACATAGGCATGGGGATAAGACCTCCGAGAATCCTTCAAATATATTGAAAAACTTAGAAAAGTCTAATCATACCCATGTCAAAGACATACCCATATTCAGGATTCACACCCGAGTCCAAGTAACATAAATGAAAAATTACTAAAAGAAAGATCATTAGCTACGCACATCTTGCCCCAATACTACTTGATTCTGACCATAGCAACCATAACATCACGCCTTCTCAAAAATAAATAAATAAAATAGAGAGAGAGAACCACAGACAGAAATAGGAAAAGGCTGCAAATATTAACTAACCTTAAAAGTAAGCTCCCCTTGAAAACCTCCCGCAACCATAAAATTGTCCTTGGCAGCTAGAGTGCTTATTTGAGTTTGTGTAAAACCTTCTAATAAACTTCCGGGATGTTTCTAGTTACATGGCAAGGCAACAGAAGTTAGCAGATAAATTAGAGCCAAATTACTACGATAACCAACTTTAATTAAAATCATTCATGCAGCAAGTAAACGATAGAAGCACAAAAGCTAGTAAGTATAATTGTAATACCTCAGTAGGTGCCACATGCCCAGCAAAATTAAGGATCTCAGACAGATTGCACGACAATGATGACCAATGCGTAACCGAATAATTGGACATAAGGTAAACATCATGCTTTGAAGTAGCCCAAACCAAGTTTCTGAGCTGTAAAATTCATTCCACAACAGGTTATTTATGTCGAAAATACTGGAGATATAGAACTTTCAACCCAAATCTAGGACCTACTTTAAGCATTCTTAATCTTAATATTACCATGTACAATGACATAAGTAATGGGTACCAAGAAAAAAGGGGAGGTAGAAGTTAAAGAAACAAATAGCCACATCCGAGCAGATGCAGATACACAAGAAGTTGCAATTTCAAAAGAATAAATATCACCAATCATATCCATAAATGAGAAATGACACTACTGAATATCATATCCATTACCAAAGAAGAAAATCAAGGTCCTTTTATAGTTGCCCGTGCACACAACTGAACCAAGAAAAGAGATGACAAAGGAAATCTTTTCAATGATTAAAGCTAAATCATTTTCCAGAACGGGAAAGGAAATTAAGAACAATATATATTGACACCAAAATAACATCTTCAAAAAGCAGGATACAAGTGACAATAACAAAAGAAATAAACATTTTTTACTAACAAACCTGAAAATGGCGTATTGTACGTTTAACCGATCTAGTATTATAGAAGAATTCATAGTAGTTCCCACCCTTTTCTACCTGTTTGCATTCCTGAAACAAAATATACAAATCACACAAAGCTTAGTATGCTATTCACTTTACTATAAACTAGTTCGTTCATGGATTGTAGGAAAAAGAAATGAAACTTGTCAACAGCGTCACTGGAAGCCGGTATATTCTCATAGTTCTTATACTGTTCAAGCCTTGTTAGCCTATATTTTTCTCTCGTTATGTTTAGTCTTTCCCATGGAATCCCCTGAATGTCTTTCCCCTTCCTCCCTTGCACAGAAGATGTATCGATCACCTTGGTCAGCTGCTCGAATTGTAGCATGAACGTGATGAATTTCATCATTAAATTATAAAATTAACTATAACTAACAACAAAACGCATATAGAATAGATAAATATCACCAAAGTGAAAAGCACACCATGTCATATTCATCAGCATCCACATCTCCACCAGCTCCATCATAGTTGTCTTCATCCATATCATCTACGAAATCTTCATCCATGTAATAGAAATCCTCCCTTTGCTGGTAGGACTTGATATATGCTGCATAATTATTCAGTCCTCACTACTGTTTTCTCTCTTTTTACTAATAAAATTAGCAAAAAGTTAATATAAAAAATGCCCAGGGAAACCAAAAGAGAAAATAAACTAATGGAAAAAAACTTATTTAAAAAAAACCAGAAAAAGACTAATCACCTTCATTTTCATTTTCCTAAAGCAGATTGGAGCAAAAGGGCATTCCTATAATTCATAAAGGAAACTTATTTCCAAACAAACCGCCTTTAAAAAAGCCTAAACTATAATAAAATCATATCCAACAAAAATGTTCTACATGAACAAAAAGAAACCCAGATTTCTTAAACCTCACTAAGAAAAGATTTACTATTTTTTTACCACAAAAATTCATTAAAAAATGCAGAAAACTTAACATATGAAAAGAAAAATAAAAGAAGAAAAAAACACATGGAGTTCACTAATAGAAAGTTGGAATTTAAAAGAAAAAGGAAACGAGAGATTGATATACTTACACGAAATTGAATAAGGTTCTGGAAATTCCGGCCTTTAGATTTAATCCTTTATGTATAAAATATTAGTAATATTTACACAAAGATTGAAGATTATTATTATTATTATTAATTTATCTTTACAAGGGCAAGTATAGAGAGATAATGAAAAGATATATTTTTTGGGTTATGCTTAATTTTTCAATTTTTATAAAATACAAAACATTTAATTTTAATACACGAGGTCGAGATATGTCATAATTTTTCAGTTCAGATCTATCAGATTTTTTTCAATTATCATTTATTTAATAAAATATTTTGTTTGATTATGGATCTGGCGCTGTCTACGGTTGTAATGATGAGTGGCGGATAGCACAAAGTGATTACATTCCAATGGTTAATGGATAAGGGCTAAATACTAATTCCATGTGATATCTCATTCCAATTAAAGATATCATATGGTCCATCCGGATTTAGATGATGGTTTAAAATTTTAAGGTTAAATTATATCATTGGTCGTTGAATTTTAGGTTTGTTTCATTATGATCATTAAATTATAAAAAATAATTTTATCACTTGTCGCAACGGTCTTTCGGGTGGATCCAAATTCTCATTTCGACTTAGAATTGTGATGTCACCGATCGTTTTTTAAAATAGGTGGATCGAACACCTCGAACTTACCATTTACCAGATCTACGTCTTACCAAAGATGTGTAAGATTCGGGAGTCGCTTACGATAAGGGAAGAATGAGCACCCCGAATCACCCTTTCGATATCATTCGATTACCCAATTGCCTTAATCGCGAAAATTAAAATTTAAAATAAAAATTTAAAAATCGACCGAGTTGTTTACCTTTGACGATTTTGAATTTAGGTTGGATCTCCTTTTACTATAAATAAAAATTTAATGTTAAAATATAAAAAATAAATTAATACTAAAAAGGTAATAAAAATTAATGATAAAAATGTAAGAAAACACTGCAAACATAAAGAAATAAAACAGGGTACCAATTTATAAAAAAAAATATGAAAAGGAATAAATTGAATTAAATTAAAATTTAGTGACCAATTTACAGCAAGTAATCAGAACGGATTACACTTCAAAGCTTCAAGACTACAGACATAATTTAAAAAACTTGTATTTACACACTAGTCCACCGTATATATATCCCCCAAATTTCTTCTTCTCCCTTCATTTGTAACACCACCCATGAAAATAAGCACCCCAACTCTCCCAAATCCTCTCAACCACACCACCACTCCTTTCTGGTCGACCACTGCGCCTCTTCACTATGTCAGCGACCGACCACCACCCACGGTGGTCGGATCACCCTAAAGGCTACCCTAAAATACTCCTCTCAACCCCTTGAACACGAAATTGAACCCTAATTCTCCAAAAAGAGCCCCCTCGACATAGATCCAAGCCAAAAGTAATCAGTTTTTTACCTTTCATGGCGAAGATTTATTAGTTCTGTGACCGTTAGTCCTCCAAGCGACCTGAAGGCTAAGTTTTCTCTCATTCTTTTTCCATTTTAGTGAGTTCTTCCTTTAGAAAACTTATGATATTCTCGTTTTGCAAAGGTATTTTTATAATGCTCGGGATGGCTTTTCTTTCCACTTTGGATAAAAGGTTCATCCATCACTTATCTTGAACTCAAGGGATTATTTCCCTTACTTCGATTTGCCTTGAATCGAAAGGAAATTTATTTCCTTGGTTCATTTTGATTTTTCATGTAAAGGGATTTGTTTTTGTTTTTAACTCGATTGATTGCTTTGATTTGGGGTCATTTCCTTATCTGTTCTGCTTGGGTTTGATTCGTACGAGACCTCCCTTTTCTTGGGGGTTGATTCGATCTTCATTTTACTTGTTTTCTTGGGATTTCCTTGTGGATCAACAAGGATCTTTCCAAATCTGATTAGCGCGTAGTCTTTACGCCCCACTTGTTGGCTTGCTGATGATATTTGACCTTCTGGAATGTTCTCGGGATCATTTATGGATGTTTGATCAACAAGCCAAATCCAACGGTACAGATTACTGTGGTGCTGGCTTTATAACATTTAGGGTTTGAAACCCTAAGTTTTCCTTATTCTGGACCCTTGATTTGTGCTTTGATCTGACGATCCTCGTTGATGACAGTGCTTGACTTAAGATTGAAACCTTAATTACCCATGGCCTTTTTAACCCGACTTGCTTGTTGTGTCACGCTTGCATTGCTTGGTTGGGCTTTGATTTGGACTCTGACTTGAATTCTGGACCTTGACTTGGATTGGATTGTAATAGACCTAAAAACAAAATAAAGATAATATATATATATATATATAATATTTTTTAATAAACTAAGTAAATAAATAAAAATTATATATATATATATATATATATATATATATATATATATATGTTTTGTAACACATATTTTTAAAACTATATATATATATATATATATTGAAATATATAACCTATATTTCAAAATTACAAAATATATATATTTTCTAATATATATATATGTGTGTGTGTTTTAAAATTATATAATATACATATTTTCTAAAAGCGAAATATACATAAATTTTAAAAATATAATAATAATAATAATAAGATCAAAATAGAACGATTCTATAGACGAAAATGAGTGTCTACAGTTGTCCCTCTGTCTAATATCGTGTAACGACAATAGGACAAAGATAAAAATACTTGAATTTTCTTTTGGTTTTCAGAGTGAATGGAAAATGAAAGAAAGCTCGCTCATCTGATGTTGAGATTTCTTGTTTTTTTTAAGGATCCGATCCACTATGGTTGAATTTTCTTCGAGCTCGATATCCTTTATTGTGAAGTTGAAATCTGAGTCAAAGTTGTAAATGATCATTCTTTGACTTGGATATCCTCCATCGTGGAGTTGAAATCTAACTTAGAAAATTTTGTTTGTAAGATGGCTCCTCGCCACTGAGTTAAGCCAAATTGTAGTCAATTATGGACGTGCTTCCTGATAAGTATTCTTCAATGTGAAGTTGAAACTTGACCATGAAGACTTTAACTGGATACTAGTTCATTATCGCTAGAGTACATTTGATTCTAAATTGGTCTTTGAACACAATATCCTTCATCGCGGAGTTGAAATTGACTTCAAAAATTTTGATCTAAAACTAGTTCCTTGTTGCTATCATGCAGTAAATGTGCTCTCGAGTTGAGTGAAGTTGAAACTGAACTTGAAAGCTTTGGTTGACAAATAGCTCTATCGTGAGTTTGGTCTTGTGTGATCTGAGCTCAATATCCTTTGATGGGAAGTAGTTTCTCATTGCTAAATCACAGTCAACCTTGAGTCTTCTTCTATACTTAAAGACCTTTGTTTGAATTTTGACCGGAATATAGTTTCTTGTTGCTATCATGTGGTCAATGCACTCTCGAGTTGAATATCCTTCGTTGAAAAGTCTGAACTTGAAAGCTTTGGTCGACAGATAGATCTTCTCGACTTAAGCTATTTCAAAATCTAGGCTGAAAAGAAGTTACTTATTGCTAAATCGCAGCCAATCTGGGATCCCCTTTTAGACTTGAAGGCCACAGTTAGGAAATAGCCCACCTCGTAGTTGAATTGAGCTATGATGTGAATGACTCCTCCATCGCAAGTTAAGTTGATCCTGGATGCTTTGGGTGCAATATTATTCATTGTGAAGTTGAAATTGACTCAAATAATCTACAAAATTGTATGTGATGAATGTCTTAGGGTATGCCTAAAATGCAAATGTCAATTTAGTATTTTTTTTTCAAAGATAAGTCCCGATCTTCTTTGGTTAATCTTGATCTTTCTCTCATATTTTGACCTCTTGGTATCTTGTAAACAACTTCATCTTTGTGAAGTCATGATCTCATAATGAATATTTTAGGGAAATTGTTTTGATGAATTTTCACCTTTTCCCAAGAATTGGGGCATGAATGGCCCATCGATGTGATATCCAGACCATTTCCCCTACTCCTATATCAAAACCTCTTTTTGACTTCTGAAATGCCTACATTTTTCAAGAAATTTTTGTGCAATAATATTCAATGATCTATTTTCAAGGTAAATAAATATATCAATACTTAGTTTCAATGCAAGATGCGAAGTAAAAATGAGCTTTTGAAAAGAAACTTTGTTTTTATTTATATACGAGAAAAGAGTGTTTTTTATTATTACATGGTAAACACTTAAAGGGAGAATAACAAAAATGAAATAATAGGTCCCATATATATCAATTTAGATTCCTCTAAATTGACACACCTTAGGAAGGATCAAGCGTTGCTTGTGTCGAAAGGATCTCGAAAATTGGGACGATGCCTGAAGATTGCGAAATTTTTCCCAAGTCATTAAGTCTCATACCGGATGCTACAGTTGAACTTCTGATGCATTCAACCACAATATGATGCATTCAACCACAATCTGATGCCTTTATCAATTATGCTTATTTCACTCAAGATCTTTCCTTGTATGAACCCTAAATCATTACTCAAGTCACCATTTACGGGTTTTCAACTTGAGACCTCCTTTGGTTTCAAGATGCCCTTTACAGGTTTTCATCTTGAACCCT